ATGAGATATATCTGATTTTCACTGCAGATTTTGAGGTTCCTGAAACAGAGGGCTGCCAATCTCAGACCATTGAAAGTTTCAGGACATGTCACATGGTGCGGGGTTCTTGGTTTTCAAAGAATAACAAACTCCGCACATATGGGTTGTCTCCACTGTTCTTGGCTCATCTCCGTTCAGTTCTGAAAAGCGGTGGCATGGAGCAGCCTCCTGTGGCTCCTGGAGAAGACGTAAGGCTCTCCATGTGATATCTTTTCAGGTCTTATTTGGTTCAGCTTTTATATTTCTAAAAAATTGTTTATTTTATAAAAAGCATACAAAATGATGTTTTGTGAGAAACACTTTTAGGAAAGTATGTCAATCAAACTACAAAAATGGGAAAACTGTTTTCCATAAAAAGGAAAGCCGTTTTAAAGATTCTCCAACAAAGCCTCAATCTATTCAACTAAATATTGGACTGCCTAATATTGTTTCTCAATAACCTGTGAAATCCAGTTCAGTTATTTTGATTCAGAGCTTGTGAATGGATCTTAACTGGCCTTTCCATTGTCTTCTACAACATAATCATTACTGGAATTATCATTATTTTTAGTAGCCTAAATTATTTGGGATGGCTTTTTTATTCCTACAACTTTCCAATTTTTGCTTTTTTCCTTATTCATTTTATTTTTTATATTCAAGCTTTCTTTAAAGATGTGAGGTTATGATCGAAGAAATCAACCAAGAATTTGCGATGATCTTACATTTCATGTCCATCCATTTTTAAATTTCTTACTTTTCTGCTAATTGGGTAAACCCAAAAGCTCTCAAGACTGTTAACTCAGAAGCTTCTTTTTGTTCTCTCAGGAAAATGAGACAGCATTGCTGGAAACAATTATCTCTATTTTTGAACCTATGATGGAAGGGCTTGGAGAGAGGGATGATCTCGTCGGGTAATGATCTTCCGACTCCAGACTGAATTCTTCTGGATCAGTTTTTTTTTAAGCTTTCTGCATATTTGCAGTGAGGAGATGAACTGGGATGTGAAGTTAGCTTTGGAGTATAAAGAATTGCAAAGAAGAATCATATCATCTGTTTTGTCCTGTGCCGCTGGACTGAAATTGCTGGACAGTGCCTAGTTATAGAGTTAAATTAAGCAAGTGAGTATGTTATTTTTGTCTTAATCCTTCTATTATTGCTATTTATTTTAATTGATAATCAAATGTTGTTGAATGGAGTGTTTAGAATGTAGAAAATGAAATTATGAAAGCTTATTGTTTGGATTTCCATTGTCTTTCACCTACATCACCTGCAATTGGCTCATGAAAATAGTAGATAGAAAATTGAGGTAGGGAAGAGAGATAATGTGGGATTGCTCAATTTTTTTTTTTTTT